ACACAGCAACTCAACGAATTCCTGGAGAATAGGGAACGAGAAATAAATTTTGTGAGTTCCTACCTGTCTGCCCTGAAGGACGTGGAAGTCGTGTCCTCCAAGAACAAAGTGGATGAAATAGTTCTTGACCCCACGAATGAGTTTGTTGTCTCTTTTACGTTCACCTCGTTACAGGACGAGGAGCCCTATCTATCAGATTTAAAGCTCTGGCTTCAGACCCACTATATGAAGAATACTCATGATCCAGCCCCAGCCAGTCGTGTCAGTGAGAAACCAAAACCCAAACTGTGGTTTGAAGACAAAGAAAGACATAAAAATGCCCGCAGATCTGCAAAATCCCTGTCAGAATTTGTCCGTGTCAACAAATCCCGTGGGAAATCTCGGTTCCTTGTGGCGTCTGTCCCAAACAAGGACAACCCAGGAGCTTCCATTTACCTGTATGAGGATGGGGAGCTGGTCAGCACCAACTTTGAGCCTCCAGCAAAGCCTCTTCCTCCCCTGATTGCTGGAATCAGCCAGGGTGCAGCTCCCACGGAAGCCAGCAGCCCGGGGAGAGGCTGCGATCACCGGCTATCGGGTGGAGTACAGAAGAGTGGTGCAGGAGGACTGGACGGCTGTGAATGTGAATAGCAAACAGGAATCATTCCCAGTAACAGGGCTACGTGCAAACACCGAGTACCAGTTCAGATACGCTGCAGTGAGCAAACCAGGGCTCAGTGTGAGCAGTGACAGGAGTGAGACTGTGAAGACATCCTGCCCCACCAGCCCCCCGGGGAAGCCTGTAACATTGAAAGTGGAACCACGTGCTGTCACACTGTCCTGGGAGGCACCAGCTGTCACTGGAGAGGGAGTCACTATCAGGGAGTACAGGGTGGAGTATAAAGAAGACACAGGAGATACAAGTCCTGAAGAAAAAGGCAAATGGCAGGAGCAAAGGACCAAGGAGAAAGCAGAGTCCTGCAGCATTGAGGGGCTGAAGCCTGGGACGTCCTACGTGCTCCGAGTGTCAGCGGTGTGCGCGGGTGGTGCTGTGAGTGACCCCAGCGAGGCGGTGTCCGTTTCAACGCTGGGAGCAGAATCAACGTCGTTAGCTCACGTGTACTTGAAGAAGAGCACTCTGATAGGGGACCAGGAGCCCTCCGTGTACGCACTGCCCCTAGAGAAGGTAATGCGTGGTTCTAGCTCATCTTGTTTAAAGTACAGGCTGGGAGCGGAGAGCTCTTGCACCCACAGAAAGGTCATTATGGTGATGGGAGCAACGGGGTCTGGGAAGACTACTCTCATCAATGGGATGATCAACTACATCCTGGGAGTGCAATGGGAGGATAATTTCAGGTTCAAACTGATCCACAAAGTGACCAACAGAAGCCAAGCTGAGAGCCAGACGTCTGAAGTGACCATTTATGAGGTCAATTACAGACAGGGCTTTAAAATCCCCTATAGCCTGACTATCATAGACACCCCAGGGTTTGGTGATGTGAGAGGGATAGCTCAAGACAGGCTAATAATAAAGCAAATCAGAGAATTTTTCTCTACCCCGGGGGACATTGATGAAATAGATGCTGTCTGTGTTGTAGTCCAGGCCTCGCTAGCTCGTCTAACCCCTGCCCAGAAATACGTGTCTGATTCGGTGCTCTCCATCTTTGGGAAGGACATAAAGGACAACATACAGGTTCTGGTCACCTTTGCAGATGGACAGACACCCCCGGTTCTAGAGGCCATTAAGACCGCTGATGTGCCTTGTGCTAAGGATGCCAAGGGTACCCCTATTCATTTTAAATTCAATAATTCCACACTGTATGCTAGCAATGCTGGAGCTGACCATGGCAGTTCCAGTTTTGATGCAATGTTTTGGAAAATGGGAGCCATGAGCATGAAGGCCTTCTTTGAATCTTTATTCAGCTTAGAAAGTAGAAGTCTGACCCTGACGAAGGAAGTGCTCAGAGAACGGAAGGAGCTGGAGGCGGCTGTGGAAGGGCTGCGGCCCCAGATCAGGGCCGGACTGACGAAGCTGGAAGAACTGAGAAAAACAAAGAAAATTCTGGAGCAACACAAGGATGAAATGGAGGCCAATAAAGACTTTCAATATGAGGTAGATGTGACCGTGCCTGTGCAGGAGGACATCTCTGGTACAGGGAACCACATAATGAACTGCCGGCAATGTCACTACACCTGCCAATATCCTTGTGCAATCTCTAATTGGGATGATCTGCGAGGATGTGCAGCAATAGATAGTAATACAGAATATTGCAATGCGTGCCATGGTAAGAGTTTCTGGAAAGCTCACTTCAATCCAAAGTACAAGTGGCGTTATGAGACAAGAAGAGAGAAACGGACCTTCGGTGAACTGAAAGAGAAGTACGAGAAGGCATCCGGTGAGATATTATCAACAAAGAACGTGGTGGAGAAGCTGAGTCAGGAATACGCTGCAGTGGAAGAGATATTGCTAGAGCTTATTGACAAATCATCTTACAGCCTCCAGCGCCTGCAAAAAATCACCTTAAAGCCCAACCCACTGTACACTCCAGAATACGTTGACCTGCTGATCATGTCAGAACAACGGGAGCTGAAGCCCGGGTATCAGGAACGGATAAAATCACTGAATGAAGTGAGGGAAGTAGCTAATATAATAAGGAAGATTGCTAATAAGGAGCCCCTGCTGCCAGAAGAGTAGGACATGTCCAGGAAGGGAGTAGAAAAACTGCCTTCATTCGGGACATCTGTCAAAAACAAAGTGAACCTTGCTAAAAGCTTGTTTCAATAAGTACTAACTTCTGCTTAGCCATGAGAAGAAACAGCCAGCTTAACCAGGGGGTCTGGAAGCTCCCGTTACTTACATAGATCCTTTCTTTTAAGATTCAAGAAGGCCGTTTCACTCAGATTTACACCAAACTTATTTTATTTGCTATAGTCTACACCAGTGCCATTGACAGCAGAATCACACCCATTAAATATGAACTATATCATGTATAACAACAAGAAGTGGTTTTGTATCACACACACACATACACATAAACCTGAGTCACCATCAAATGTTCACATGGAAACTTCTCAGATGAATCGGACACACATGACCCTTCTATCAGAGTACTCTCTCTATTGCAGGGGTCGGCAATTATTTTCGGTAGAGGGCCACTTACCCAGTTTCAGCAAGCTGTCAAGGGCTGCATAGGTAGCGCCACCCCTTGACAGGTGTCCCAGCCCTTGGTCCACATCTTGGGACCAATGTCTCAGGGCCAGCACGGGTGGGGCCCAGAGTGGGGTACAGGCTGGCAGGGGTCTGTGGAGCCAGGCTGGACTGCACCAGAAGGGAGAGGGGGGGGCTGGCATGGCCCCACCGAACTCCTGCCAGCTGGGACCCTGTACCCCTGCCGCCTTGCTCTTGAGCAGGCACAGGTAGCCCTGTGCAGGTTGCGAGAGCCTGCAGCAAGGAGCACTGGCCAGGGGGTGGGGCAGGGGCTGGGTCCCCCCCCCACGCTCTACACCAGTTTGTAACCCGGCTCCACTGCCAGCCTGGGTCCTGCGCCGGCTCCGGGCTCACCTGTTGGGGCTGCACACGGCAGTAGAAGCTACGGCCCCGCACCGGGCAGTGCCTGCCACCGCCGCCCCTGGGATTCCCAACGCGCGAGCTCTGGGCAGGCAGCAGCAAACACGGCCCAGTGCAGCAAGTTGCGGGGGCTGCAGCTGCTGCAGATGCCACAGCCCCAACAGATGAGCCTGGAGCCAGCGCAGGGCCCAGGCTGGCATTGGGGGGGGGTTTACAAGCTGGTGCTGAGCGCGGGAGGGAAGAGTGGCCCCTTCCCTGCTCCATGGCCAGCGCCCCGCGCTGCAGTCACTTGCAGCCTGCCTGGGGCTACCTGTGTCTGCTCAGGACAGCCCCGCCCCGGCCGCGAGTGGCTGCAGCAGGGAGTGCAGGCCATGGGGTGGGCGAGGGGCCACCTTTCCCCAGGCTCCTTCTCTGCCCCTCCCCCCACACCTTCCCTGGGGTTCCAGTGTGGGGCAGCCACGTGCTCCCATGCCAGAAGCCCCTGCTGGGGCTTTTGGATAGGGGGGCAGGGCTGGGTGGTCCCTGCTGTTGCAGGAGCCTGCTGGACTCCCCCTGGGTCCTACTGCCCCTGGTTTCTGCCATTTTTGACAGGAACCAAGGACAGATCAATATTAATTTTCTAAATTTTTTAGGGGCCCCGTTGGCCAGATAGAATGGCCTCATGGGCTGGATCCCATCCGCGGGCCGTGTCTTGCCCACCCCTGCTCTATTGCTACTGATATCAGGACTGTATCAAATGGATGGTACAGACGGGACTCTTTTAAAACCCCAGGGCTCTTTCAACCCTTTTGGTTACATGTGTTGTAAATCAGATACAAGAAATATAGAATCAAATAACAAAAAGAAAGATGTCACACTGCAACTGACTGTTTCTTCACACCAGTGAAAACAAAAAACAAATTGGTTGAATTTCATGGAATTACACTGCAGAACAATTAAAAGTGTGTTATCACTGGTTAATTCACACTCCTGGTTAAAATGGAAAGGAAGGTTAAGGAAAAAAAAATCAGGAGTGATAATTTTTTCCCCCAATCCCTGGATGTTCTATGATGCTTTCATACTACATTTCATAGCAATCAAATAAGCTAGGACTGGAAGGTCCCTCGGTGTCACATCATAGAACCACATCATAGAAGTCCTTCTATAAATTTACCTAGTCCCCCTTGAAACCAGCTGTGTTTCTCACCTCTTCTGCTCCTACTGGAAGGCTGCTTAAGAACTTCACTGGAGTTCAGCTGACAGAGAGGGAAAGCCTGGATGTCCTACACAAAACAACTTCCCAGTATCTGCATTTCACGGGCCTGCTTTCTGTAGGGGAAGATTTGCGATGGGACTGTGGTGCACGGTTCTGAGCTCTACGTCTGTCCCAAGAGAGAAATTCCTACTCAGCGCACACAGTGTCACCCATGGCACCAGTTTTGCTTGTCCGCAGCTTGGGGTGCAGTTCCCCACAAACCTCTGCACCGATCTTCTTGAACCTTGGAAGGCTTTGTGGCCTCAGTAAGAGCTATCACCCCTGCAGTTTTGACCCCCCTGTGTTGTAACACATAAACATGACAGGAGCTTTGCTTTCAAGCATTTGGGGTACAGTTCCCCCCAAACCTCTGCACCGATCTCCTTGAAACTTGGCAGGCTTTGTGATGAGCAAACTGAGGAACAGTTCACAAGGAAAGGCTGGAAGGACTGAGATGATTTAGAGAAAAGAGAAGACTGGAGTTGGAGTGGTGGGAGGGAGTGGGGAGTTGATAACCCTTCAGCTACCCAAAGGGTGGTTGTGCAGAGGAGGGTGATATGGACCATTCTCCATGGTTGCAGGGGATAAAATATGACAAAGCTGGAACCTGGCTGGGGTGGGGAGCACCCACCTGCAAAACCCCAGCCAGAGGCTTAATGGCAGATATAACATGTTAGCTTGGGCTGGCAGCTATTGCTGATGGTCTCTTCCTGAGGCCTGATTATTGCACATGCTCATCACTTGCATTGCTGGAGTTAATGTATTTGGCTCTGTTTGTAACTGCCCTGGTGCCAGGGTAGCCCAATGGTCTGAAGGAAGAACAACCTTTGCCTCCTCTCTCCTGGCCTTTTATGCCAGTGCAGGGCAATCAAGAACCGGCATGTCTATGTATAAACCATCTGCATTCAACAAACTGCTTATACAAGCAAGCCTTATTCAGTGACTGATGTAGCCACCTGTAGTGCGATGTGTTCCAGTCCCTGTGTACTCACATATTCTGATGTCTAGTCTTTAACTCATGTAACAATGGTTTTATAGCTTCATTAAATAGATTTAATTAGAAGAAGCATCTGTGGCTGCCCTTTCCAGCTGAACTGGAAGAATGCCCTGTCTTCACTACATCAAACAAAACACCACCACACAACTCTGCATGGCAAAAGCTACCCCTGTCTCCCTCGGTCTGCTTCAAACTCAGCCCAAAGAGCTCTTTCTGTTCTGGTCTCTCATCTGTTGAGATCTTTTCTGTTCCCAGGAAGATGTCCCTAAACTCATCCATGATTGTTTCAGTGCCTGCCTCTCCAGTGAGTGCATTTGTAACATAACCCGCAGTTGTTTTTTTAAATTTTTATACACACACACACACACACACATTCCCTTCTCTTCCCCAACTATTTCTGACTTTTTCTATCCCTCTTTATCCCCTATAGTTAAATATGAGTGAGCTAAGACAGGATAAGCTTTAGCATTTTATTTTGGTAGCAAGTTGGGGGTTTTTTCTCTCCTTCTTTGCAAATAAGTGCCCTGTTATGGATATCCACTGTTTTATATTGTATAATTACTATGTTTATATTGATTTTTACTGTTTTAGATGACTGTTTTACTGATTTTTACTGTTTTTTCTATTGATACTATACGATGTAGGCCTACATAAGCAAGTTAGCATAAGTCATGCCAAGTTTCCATTTTGCATGCCAAGCCTCCATCTTGTGTTCTCTGCCCAGGTGTAACCTATGACTTATGTCTAACCAGTCTCATGTAAATTGGTTCCTGAATGAGTGGGGATGAATGAGGGTGTTTGAGATACAATGGTAGCAGGCCTCTACTGAACAATGACCTCAACGACCGGACCAGCAGCTCAGCGACCGAATTATTGCCTTCCATTGACTTACCCAGGAACAAAACAGAAAAAGACAAAGACCCTACAGAAATTAGCCAACCCACTATTGCAACACAGACACCTGGAACTGCAGGTCCGCACCTGGAGTGCACATGCTCAGTACACCAGAGCTGACCCTTGCCTGGGCATGCCTCTGCCACTAGGGTCATAGAAGGTCTGCCCCTATAAAAAGGGGCAGTGAAGACAGACCCAGCAGGACACCTTCTCCATCTGGACCAGCATTATGCCATGCCACCTATCTACCCAGAGGCCCTGCGGGCAACCCCCTCTGGAGAACACCTCACTGGAGAAGACCCTGACTCGCCATTGAAGATCCACTCACAGCCCAGGATAGGTAGCTATCACCCACCTTCTTTCCCCAAACCCAGGATCTGGACTCTGTCCCTGCACACTTTAACTTCAGTCTCTCCATCAAGCCTTTCTCCTCCCCTGCTACCATTGTGTGCATGTAGGAACCAGTAACTCCATGAGCTGTACAGTATACTGTTTGTTTAATAAAACTGTTAATTTAGAACCTGACTTGGGTTTGTCTTACCGACCTCCCAGCCCTACTCCAATTCCTGCTCTCTGCACCTCTGATCTTCCTCCTGTGTCTCTTTCTCTTTCTGCCTTTGCCTTCTCCCTGATCTTTTCTGTCTCTCTGTTCTCATTTCCCATCTCTACCCTGCCATGTCCGCGATCTCTCTCTCTGTTCTTAGCTTTCTGTTTCTGACCTGCTGCCCCACTTTCTCTCTCTGACCCCTCTCTGTATCTCGCTCTGCTCCCCGGCTATGCTGTGCTGCCTCCATGCCTCTCTCTGTGTCTCCTGTTCCTAGCTTTCCATCTCTGCCCTGCTGCCTCCACAATCTCTCTCTCTGTCTCCCTCCATTCTTAGCTGCGTCTCCCTCCACTTCTGCCCTGCTGCCTCCAGCAGCTCCCCGCGCCCTCAGCCTTTTCCCTGCAGTTTTCCCCCAGCACCTGGAGCCCTTCTCCATCTCCCGGTGCCTGCTGCTGCTC